CGGGCGGCGCCGCGGCCGAGGGTCAGACTCGCCTTTGTGAGGCGGCCACGACCCCGCCTGACCTCTTCCCAGTCTCGTTCACCTAGCCCCACGCCCGCCCCCGGGAGGAACACACCCAAGCAGCCAAAATGACCGCCGGGGGAGGAGGACGCCGGAAGTCCCGCCCCGCGCTCGACACCACACACGGAAACGCCTCGGACCCGAGCCCTCATTGGCCCAGCTTAGCTGCCACTCAACGCAGAGCACACGGGGTACTGTAGTTCCCGCGGGCTGCTGCGGGCGCTCGGGCTCCAGGAGACGGCGTCGGCGGTCCGAGGGCTGCGGACAGTCTCCGTCCCTTCGTAGAGCAGAACTCAGGCCTCCGGGGAGAGCTGTGCGTGGCCTGCCCCTGTTCGCCCAAATGTTTGGGTTCATTATCTCAAACTCCAAGAAGTTCAGCTAGTTCCCAGGAGCCAAACATACTACTTGATGCCCCCGCGAAGGGCACGGATCAAAATGCAGCCCGCAGGCCGTAGTCCACCCCTCGCTGTTCCGCCGGAGCCGGTGCCGCCGCCGCCTTTGGATCAGTCCGCGCACCTTGTTAGTAGCTCTGTGTAATTTGCACTTCACATGCTGGGAGTACCTTAAATGAGTTCAGCGCCTCCCTGGGAACTCATTTCCACTTTTCTTGTCCCGGCAGGGACTCAAATCCAAGAGATCACACAGCCCCTCACTGTCATTAAGGGTAGACCGTTACCTACCCAGCACCCACCTAAATAAAAGAGGTGTCTGCCACTTCACTTTTTATCCAGTCCCAGGGGTTTCCCCCTCCCCCCTTGGCTTGCTCCCGCCTCCCTAATCCAGCACCAACGGAGTCCATGTAACCCACTTATGTCTCCTCTTTAGACTGTAACGTTTAAAACGAGGTGCCAAATGGCCACTCTCAGGAGCATCATCACAATCCTTTGAGAGTGTCTTCCTGACATATGTGGACAGTCTGGCTCAAATAAAGTCACAAAAATTCTTCAGATAATGTAGGCCAGCCAAAGCTGGACATATTCTTACTGCTCTTCAAATGTGTAGCCTGAGTTGTATACCCCTGTTTTGCTTTAATAGAATTGGACAAGAACAATCGAAATAACTCCATACACAGTCATGGCTGTCAAGAAAGCAGAGGGATAGTCTGAGTTAGGCAAATAAGCAGCAATTTGTGCATGGAAATGGGGGTTCTATGGAAAGCAACCTCCCAGGGTGATTTGGTCATTAACTGGGCACAGCTGGAGAGTACTGAGCCCAAAGCCTAAACCTTCCCATTCTTTATTTTTTTCTTTCTTCCTTTCTCTCTTTTTCTCTCTTTTCTTTCCTTTCTTTTTCACTTTCATGCAAGAGGGGGACTTACTCTTGTGTATAAGACAAACTTGGCTGCACAGCAAGGGAGCAGAGATGCTGAGGGGCTGCTGTCTGAGGGTGCGGCTGACCAGGAGAGGTCTAAACCTTTTCAGTGAAACGTTTTAAGGCAGCCCTGTTCATTGTTCTTGGGTATCTAGAACATCTTTGAAATACCCTAATAGCCCTCTAAAGAAGGATTAACCCTCAAGAGATCATTCACACAATTTTGTTAACTATCCTGTAATCCGATCCCCACTTTGCTTTCCCCAAACCCCACGTGGATTCCTTGCATTCCTTCCTTAATTTCAGCTGCTTAAAAGAAACTGCAAAACTGTTGTTCTTGAGAGCATGTGCGATCCTGCTCCCAGGTGTATGTCGTTAATTTTGGCTCAAACAAACTCATAAAAATTCTCTACACCTTTGGACGTTTCTAATATTGACAAGTTCTAACTCTAGTTTCCACAGAAACCTTTCTCATGCCTGTAGAGTCAATGATTGTGCCCTAACCATTGACGAACACTTTAATTCAAATATTTCTTAGTCCATAACTAAGATATACAGTTGTCCCTCAGTGTCCACGAGGAGTTGGTTCCAGGTACCTGCAGATACCACTATGGATGCTCAACTCTTTTATATAATATGGCATAGTATTTCCATATACCCTAGCCTATATACATCCTCATGTATACTTTATTTTTTAAAATAAAGTCCTTTTTTAAAAAATATTTCTTTATTGATTTCAGAGAGAGGAAAGGAGAGGGAGAGAGAGAGATAAAAACATCAATGATGAGAGAGTCATTGATCGGCTGCCTCCTGCACGCCCCCAACTGGGGATACAGCCCGCAACCTGGGCATGTGCCCTGACCGGGAATCGAACCACGATCGCCTGGTCAATGCTCAACCGCTGAGCCATGCCTGGCATCATGTATACTTTAAATGACCTCTAGTTTACATATAATATGTAATACAATAAAAATGATATGTAAAAAGTCTTCATATTGTATTTTTAGGGAATAAAGGCAAGAAAATAGTCTGTTCGTGTTTGGTACATACACAACCATGCAACCATGGTAGGCCTAACTACATAGTACACGCCAGGAACATAACATTCATTTTAGAATATTTTCCATTCTGAGCTGAATACAAGAATGTAAAACACACAGTACGATGCAGAGGATCGACCATACTTTTTTTTTTTCTAATTCTCACTCGAGGAAATTTTTTCCATGGCTTTTCAGAGAGTGGGAGAGAGAAATATTGATGTGAGAGAGACACATCGATTGGTTGCCTACTGCAAGTGCCCCAACCTGGACCGGGGGTTGAGCCTGCAACCTAGGTACATGTCCTTGGCCAAAATCGAACCAGGGATCCTTCAGTCCTAGGGCAGAGGCTCTAACCACTAAGCAAATGGCTAGGGCTGTACTTTTTCCTTTTTATGAACAGAAATCTCAAATGTAGAGCATCTTAATAGTATTTTGGTATGGGTCAGTGGATGCAACTTTCAGTCACAGCACTTGTGCAAAGGGAGCACCTGAACACGGAGATAAAGGGGGCACCTTAAAGCTATGATCTCCTTTCTGGTAATTATCATTTTCCATTGATAGCAGATACAGTTCTTCGTGAGAAACAGGTTGTATGAAAAAAAGTTTTGAGATGCAAGTCTCTGAAACTTATTAACATATTTAGGTAATTATTCAAAGCAAGTGGCATAAATAGCTCTGGGTAAATATCAGAGGATGTTGAAGAAAGTTAACATCTCAGATAAGTTTTTTAAATTTATTTTTAAAATGTTTTTATTGATTTTTATAGAGGGAGAGGGAGAGAGAAAAACACCCACAAGAGAAAAACATCCATGGGATGCCCATTGCACACCCCCACTAGGATAGAGCCTGAAACCTGTGCATGTGCCCTGACCTGGAATCAAACCCGCGTCTACTGGGTGCATAGATTGACGCTCAACCAACTGAGCCACACCAGACGGGGCTATTTTTTTTCCCCCACAAAGAACTTTTATTAGGACTTATATTCTTGAAAACATTAAAGAATACCAGCATGGAGAAAGAGTTGAAGGGGATATTTATAGTAAATTAGTTAAAATATACAAGAACTTCTGGTGCTATGTTTACTCATGGTTCTGATAAATGTTCTCTGAGCAAGTACTCAGCATCAGGCATTGCTGTAGGTGCATGAGAGACATGACAAAGACCCCATGCACGCTCATACAGCTTAAATTCTTCAATGCACACAGACAGGAAATATAAAAAAAAAAGTGTGATTATACAATAAATTACAATGTGATATAAAGAAGCCCAAAGACTCATCTAAATATTATCTAAGTCAGATATGAGTGAGAATCAACATCCAATTCATCCTGAAATGAAATTCCTCTCCACCTATCAACCTGTGAAATTAAGTCATGTGCTTCCAAAAGACAGTGCTGGCACAGGCATGGATACACACGTGTCCATTCCAGAAGAATGAAATAGAAAGGGATGAGGTGCTGAAAGTAAGTTCAAAATTGAGCAAACTTCATGAGATGACACAGCTCATGAATAATCTTCTTTGGCTTGAAGCTCTGCCTTCCAGACCCACTGGGACAATGGTCCAGTCTCCGCAGCTGCAGTGGACAAGAGTTCTGACCCCGGGGATTGGCCTGTTGGGAACCACACACCCAGGGCTCAGTACAGATGCTCTAGTTGGTTCCATCCACGGGACATTGAGGTGAGTGTTGATGATCCTGTCCATCAGGACCACCTAGGGACTCATTAGAAACAATATTTCTCACTCTAACCAGTTTGGCTCAGTGGTTAGAGTGCCAGCCTATGGGCTAGAGTGTCCCTGGTTCAATTCCCATCAGGGGCACATACCCCTGTTGCTGGCTCCATATGGGTGCCTCTGGGAGGCAAGCAACCAATGCATCTCTCTTCCATTGATGTTTTTCTCTCCCTTCCACTCTCTGAAAGAGTAATGGAGGGCAATTATTAAAAAAAAGAAACGCTACTTCTCACCTGGCCAGAGTCACGGTTTGTAGAGCATCGTCCTATGCATCAAAGGACTGCTGGGCTGATTCCTGGTCAGGGCACATACCGAGGTTTTGGGCTTTATTGTCAGTTGGGGTGAGTATAGGAAGCAATTGATCATTGTTTCTCTCTCCTATCGATGTTTGTCTCTCTCCCTTCCTTTCTCTAAACATATGCTAGGTAAGGATTAAGGAAAAGAATGGCTCACCCATCGGGCCTGGCTCAGTGGTGGAGCATCGACCTCGGATCCAGAAGACTGCAGTTCAATCCCCAGTCAGGGCACGTGCAGGCTTGGGGCTCGATCCCCAGTCCGGAGCGTGCAGGAGGCAGCCGACCAGTGACTCTCTCATCATTGATGTTTCTCTCTCTCTCTTCCTCTCCCTTCCCCTCTCTGAAATCAATAAAAATATATTAAAAAAATAAAAAGAAAAAAAACAGACTCAAGATTTTTTAAAAAAACCTTATGTTCTAATCTTTTTGGAAAATGGGTTTGGCCACCCTATATTCACTCCACCATCTCTCCCCTCACGCTCTCTAGGGGTCAATATTCCCTAAATAACACAAAATATGTTAAGTAATGAACCTTTCCATCTGAGGAAGCAGGAAGGAGGCCTGGCCCAACAGCCACATCCCAGGACTACAGGTCCCTTTTCCTTCTTTCCTGTTGTGCAGTACTGGCTTTGAGGCAGACATCACTGAGTGACTATAGGAATCCACAAAACTATTTAATCAATTTTATTTCTTCTGACAATGAGGTCAGCTACACAAGATAAACATGCCTGGGGGTCCTGAGTTCTGTGTACACGGATCATGCAGTCACTGTTGCAGATGCACTACTGGACGCACATTTAGAAGAGGCATGTTCCATCTAGTTAGCTGCAGTCTCCTCCAATCCCTATTATGGCAGTGTTTCTGTACCAACTATGGTTTTCCCTGGAGCCAGACTTTCCATCACTGACCCTAGCCCAGTGAATGGTGGACATCAGGGAACATCAGCCTTTATAGACCTGAGAAAGATATCCCCTCAACAGTGCTGGTATAATCTGCAATATCTGCTTTGGGTGAAGGAAACATGCTACTTTTGTAAGTACCTGAGGATCTCATATCTGCCTTCTCCTCAGGGTCATCTCTAAGACGCCTCAAACACATAACATCCAAATGAGGACCAGAAAGCCCTTTAGTCCGAGGAGTCTGTGGACAGGCACTCAAATTTGGTCAAAAATGGCCCACTATTTCATGCCATCATACAGTCCCCTCCACAAGCAGAGAAAATTTGAGGCCATAAAAAGCCGTCAGTAGTATATCACCTCTTCATGCTTGCAGAGCCCAAGGCAGGTTACATACGACCCCATACATTTCAAAGAACAAGCAAGTGCCCAGCCAGTGTGGCTCAGTGGCTGAGCATTGACCTAGGATCCAGGAGATCTTGGTTCGATTCCTGGTCAGGGCACATGCCCAGGTTGTGGGTTCGATCCCCAGCGGGGCATGTGCAGGAGGAAGCTGATCGATGACTCTCATCATTGATGTTTCTCTCTCTCTCTCCCCCCTCCCTTCCTCTCTCTGAAATCAATAAAGATATATTAAAAAAAAAAAAAAAGATTAAAAAGAATTAAAAGCCCTGACTGGCTGGTGTCTCAGTGGTTAGAGCATCAGCCCGCACACATAAGGGTGGTGGTTTGAATTCCCAGTCACGGGCATGCACCTGGGTTGCAGATTCCATCCCTGCACCGGCTGGGGAGTGTGCAGGAGGCAACCAATAGATGTGTCTCATATCAATGTTTCTTGTTTTTTTTTAATGTTTCTATTGATTTTAGAGAGAGAGGAAGGAAGGGGGAGAGACAGAAACATTAATGAGCATTGATCGGCTACCGCCTGCACACCCCCCACTAGGTATCGAGCCCTTAACCCGAGTATGTGCCCTAATCAGGAATCAATCTGGTGACCTCTTGGTTCATGGGTCAATACTCAACCACTGAGCAACACCAGTGGAGCTCTCTCTCTCTCTCTCTAAAAATCAATATGAAAAGATATCCTTGGGTGAGGATTAACCCCCTGCCCCAAAAGAATTAAAAGAGTAAGGTCTCAATTACTGTAAAAGCCAAAGACATGAGCAGCAGGCAATTCCCAAGTTCATGAACTGGAAGCTGGAATATCTCATCACAGGCATCACTTTAGATGAACACGTCCTTGGAACACATAGTCATTTCTCTGCAAGCTGCAATTCATATTGTCAGGGCCAACACATGGACCCAGGTCTATGTCCAAATTAGTCATAATAGAAAAGCTGACCCATTAAGGGTTCTATTCATTTCTATCTAGCTACAATATACGTTCGAACAAAGGTCAGCTTCCCAGAGCACATTAGGGTGTTGACACAAAGTCTGTGTACCTGCCAGGTGGTAAAGGTGAAAGGAATATAGCCTCAGAATCTAGCAGCACCATAACCTAGGAGGAGCCTTGGGTAAGTCAGAAGGTGCAACATACTTACACACGCTTCCTACATAAATAAAACTTACAGGGAATCTCCCCACTGTGCATATTTAGATGTAAGAATTTCAATTCAGACAATGGGCTCCTCAACATGTTTCCTCAAATGTTGTTACACTGAACAGAAAATTGCTCATTCCCAGCACTTTGTCCAGTGTGAACTCGTTGATGATAACGAAGTTTGGAACTACTGATAAAAGATTTCCCACATTCACTGCACTTATAAGGCCTTTCGCCAGCATGAACTCTCTGATGGTAACGAAATATGGAGCTGTAGATAAAAGATTTCCCACATTCACTGCACTTATAAGGTTTTTCACCAGTGTGAACTCGCTGATGATAACGAAGTTTGGAACTATAGATAAAAGATTTCCCACACTCACTGCACTTAAAAGGTTTTTCACCGGTGTGAACTCGCTGATGATAACGAAGTTTGGAACTATAGATAAAAGTTTTCCCACATTCATTGCACTCATAAGGCCTTTCGCCCGTGTGAATTCTTTGATGATAACGGAGGGAGGAACCAGAGGCAAAAGCCTTTCCACACTGGTTGCACTTGAAAGGCTTTTCTACTGTGTGAACTCCCTGGTGATAACAGAAAATATCACTACTGGCAAATGATTTCCCGATTTCACTGCAGTCATAAGGACTTTCTCCAGGATGCACTCTTCGATGTTTTGCGAGGCTACTGCTTGTGGCAAAAGACTTTCCACATTCACTGCACTCATAAGGCCTTTCTCCAGTGTGAACTCTCTTATGACAATGAAGGGCATAGATCCTGGTAAAAGATTTCCCACATTCACTGCACTCATAAGGTCTTTCTCCAGTGTGAAGTCTCTGATGATAAAGGAGGCTACTTCTACGGGTAAAAGATTTCCCACAGTCACTGCACTCATAAGGCTTTTCTCCTGAATGAGTTTTCTGATGAGAGTGGAAGGTAGATCGACAGATAAAAGATTTCCCACATTCACTGCATTTATAAGGTCTGGTTCCTGTGTGAATACTGAGATGATAACGAAGGCCAGAGCTAGTGGTAAAAGATTTCTGACATTCACTGCACTCATAAGGCCTTTTACCCAGGTGGCCTTGCTCATGATACCGAAGGGTGAAGCTATTGGTAAAAGACTTGCCACATGTACTGCACACAAAAGGCTTTTCTCCTGTGTGAATTCTCTGGTGTCGAACAAGTTTCCACTTATTGTTAAAGGATTTCCCACACTCATTGCAGTCATAAGACCTTTCTCCAGTGTGAACTCTAAGATGATAATGAAAGGCCCTACGAGTAATATAAGATTTCCCACATTCACTGCACACATAAGGCCCATCTCCTGTGTGAATTCTCTGGTGTCGAACAAGTTTCCACTTATTGTTAAAGGATTTCCCACACTCATTGCACTCATAAGACCTTTCTCCAGTGTGAATTCTATGATGATAACGAAGGGCTCTACGAGTGACATAAGATTTCCCACATTCACTGCACACATAAGGCCTATCTCCTCTGTGAGAGCTCTGATGATAAATGAGGCCAGCAACAGAGGTAAACGACTTGGCACAGTAATTACACTTATAAGGCTTTTCTCCAGCTTGAACTCTCTGATATCGAATGAACACTGAGCTATGACTAAAAGATTGTGTACATTCACTGCACATGTAACTGTTTTCTCCACTGTGCCGTTCCCGGGGATAGATAAAGGCATGTTTCTGGCTTAAGGATTTTCCACATCTGCTGCACTTGTACTGCTTTGCTCCTGTATTAATTTTTCTATGCTGACTGACAGTTGAGCTTCCACTAAAGAATTTTCCACTTTTGCCACACACATGAAAACTTTTTCCAGTGTGGACTGTGCAGTGCCTAACAAATGAGGATTTATACTTGAATGTCTTTTCACATTCACTGGACACAAAACACTGTCTCCCAATATGGACATCCTGGTCCTGAACAAGTATGTGTTGGGGGTTAAATGCTTTCTTGTATTCTCCTGAAGTGTAAAGACTTTTTCTGCTTTGTAAAGTTGCTTCCCATTGGGTGCCTTTGTTTGGCTCCTTCACTTTATGAGTGTCCTGTTGCTGCTGATGTCCCAAGCTGGACAGGAAGTTCTTCTCACCCTGCTCACAGGTAAAGCTGTTCCCGGATATGTGGATGCTGGAGCTGCTCACAAATGAAGACCCATCCACACTACTTCTGAAGGGTTTCTCTCTCATGTGCTCCTCCTGGTGCTGGTGACAGTTCACACTGAAATAAAATCGTTTTGCACATGCCCCACACCTCAGCAGTTTCTGGCTATGTTGTGTTCCCCGCTGCTCAACCAAATGGAAAATGTCTCTTAAGACTGGGCCACAACTCTCACATGGGTGTCTCTTCCGTGAAGACAAAGCTGCCTTGGGATTCTTTGCCTCTGACACTCCAACAGAAACGCTCTGTTCAATGGTGTCTTCCACATTGTCTGCTCCACAGCAGCAACCTGAATGCAAAGAAACGCTGGTGAAGTCCATGTTGACTAAAGGGACGGAAGAAACACATCATATATATTCATGTGTCACATGGAGGCATGAATATGTGACATGCTTTTCAATACAAAAAAATTCAGTTGTAGGACGCCCTGACTGTTGTGTGTTACTAAGCTTCTAAGTTCACAAAATAATTCGAAACCACACCATGGGGAAGACACATGGACATGGGATGTAAACGAAGAGAGGCAGGGCATACAGTGTGTGTGTGACGGTAAAAGAGTAGTTTTTGTATGCAACTGAAGTTATCAGCTTAAAATAGAATGTTTTAACTATAAGAAGTTTTAAATAAGCCTCTAGTAACCACAGAGAAAAAACATAAAGTAGATACACAAAAGACAAAGCAATGGAAAACAAACCTCTAAACCATCAAATTACAAAGAAAAACCAAGAGAGGAAGAAATAAACTACAAAGCAGCCAGACATAGTAATAAACAAGATGGTAACAGTAGGACCTAATAAAATTCTCCAATCAAGAGACATTGGCTGAACAAAACAAAAAAACAAAACCCAATTTTATGCTGCCTTTCAGGGTAACTTAGCTTTAAAGACACAAGCAAGCTAAAAGTGCAGGGATTGAAAGAGATATTCCACACAAATGGAAACCAAGAGAGCAGGGGGCCCAGGCCATGTGGCTCAATGGTTGAGCACCAACCCAGGAACCAAAAGGTCCCCGGTTAGATTCCCGGTCAGGGCACATGCCAGGGTTGCCAGCTCGATCCCCAGCCAGGGGCGTGCGGGAGGCGGCCAATCCATGACTCTCTCGTCAAGGATGTTTCTCTCACTCTCCCTCCCCCTTCCTCTCTCTGGGGGAGAAGACAAAAAAAAAGTTCCTGGTGAGAAGAGAGCCTTCAGCCCAGCCTTTGTCCTGAGGGATTCCCCCCTCCCGCGCGGGCGAGAATCTTACGGGTTTTGGCAGAATATTCGTCAGCTTTCCAGGTGTGGTTTTTGTGTGTTTGTTTTTTTAATATATCTTTATTGATTTCAGAGAGAGGAAAGGAGAGGGAGAGAGATAGAAACATCAATGATGACAGAGTCATTAATCGGCTGCAGCCCGCAACCCCGGCATGTGCCCTGACCGGGAATCAAAACCCGATCGCCTGGATCCTAGGTCGATGCTCAACCGCTGAGCTACGCCCGGCTGGGCTCCAGGTGTTTTCAATATGCTGATGCGTCAAAATGAGCGTATGGGGAATTTTGCACTACTTTTTGATGTGCTTTACTGTTTTACTTTTATCTTGGGTCTGTCTGGCTTTAAAGAGGTTTTTGCTACTTGTTTCCCTGACTTTGTGTCCTTGGGTCTGGCTGGCACAAATGGCCTTAACTGGCCTTTGTTCTCTCCCCCTGACAACGGTGATTTAAGCTCCGTGTTCTCCAGTCAGGGAGGGGCGGTTTATACCGTCTGTTTTTAAGCATCTTTGGGTGGGGAAGATAAGGTCTCACAATTCACAAGCTGGTTGTAATGGTTCGAATTGTTCGGCTTTAGCTTCCGGACTCTACTGGCCCAGGAACATTCCTAGCTCCTTAGCACCCCAACACATTTCCCCTTACAGACTTCTATCCCTGAAATCACTTAGGGGCTGATGAGGGAGTACAGCCTATTTTCAGGGACTGCTCCCTGCTGAACACAGCAGTAGACGCTGCCTGGGTGTGGAAGTGTCTGTGGCTGATATAATGAGGCGAGGGAATGGTACCTGAGACTGGGACAGAGAGGCCATTGGCTGATTCTCCTAAAGGAGGGATGGGCTGAAATCCCCAATCCTGCTGACAGGGAACTGGCTATATCCTAAAGGTGACTAATTTGACAAGCAGTGTTGTGGAGACTAACAGGGACAGAAAAACTCCTTTCCTGGGGGAGGAGGCTGAGCGTATCGATAGGCTGGTAGAAAGTGTCAGAAATATGAGAAAGACAATTATATTAAGGCCTAGTTATTACTTAGGTTACAGGTTTTTTATTTTCTCAAGAGAAACTTGAGGTCCTTGAGTGGTTCACAAAAGTAGGTCTCAGGTAGTGGTTTCAGTGGGAAGTCACCAAAAAACAGGTTTAATTAAAGATAAATGAATCTAACTGGCTGTTCCCGAGAGCACAGCAGTTGGGGTGCTTAGTAGGACCTGATGTAGGCCTTTCCGCCTGGGCTGTAGTTGGGACTCAGGACAGTTGTCCCCTGGTTTAACTTGTGTTGGGAGTCTTTACTGAGGGCATGTAAAATTGTTTCCATAGCCCCGTGGTGCCTTTTGTACCCACCTAGATTAAAAGTGTAAGGTAACAGCTGTTTTCCCAGGTCAGGTCTGAGAAAACACCTACCACAGCTGAGTTCAAAGGGGCTCATGTGTAACCTTCAGGTGTAGCTTTTATTCTCATGGGACCTACACGTCCCAAAGACACTGGGACTCAGATTTTTGGCATAGTTTGTACAGAAACCACCCCTCTTATATGTTTATTATTAATTTCAGAGAGAAGGGAGAGGGAGAAATAGAAACACCCACTATAATAAAGTCATTGACCGGCTGCCTCCTGCAGGCCCCACCACTGGGAGTCGAGCCCGAAACCTGGGCATGTGCCCTGACCCAGAATCGGACCATGACCTCCTGGTTTATAGGTCGAAGCTCGACCACTGAGCAACGCCCGTGGGCTAGAATTCTTTTTAGGGCTTGATTAGCCATTTTCTATCTTATCAGAGACCTGAGTGTTCCATTCGTTTAAGTGATAGTTGATTTTCAAAGTTTGAGCCAGCTGTTGAGTAATTTTGATCTTTGGTTTTTTAAAAAATATTTTATTTCAGAGGAAGGGAGAGGGAGAGAGAAACATCAACGAGAGGCATTGATTGGCTGCCTCCTGCACACCCCCCGCTGGGGATTGAACCAATATCTCCTGGATCATAGGTTGATGTTCAACTGCTGAGCCACACCAGGCAAGTTGGGTAATTTTGGTTATAAAAGGCCTATTATCAACTCTGTAAGCTTCTTGGTAGTCCAAATCTAGGTAAAATTTCTTTTTTAATAAGTTCTTGGCTACCCTAGTAGCTTAACTTTTGGTAGGAAAGGCTGCCGTCTATCTAGTCAAAGTGTCTATAAATACGAGCTTTAGAAGGCATCTGAGTGAAATCAATTTGCCATTCCTTCCCAGGGTATGTGCCCTGGTGTTTCACTGGCATCGGGGGAGGGGGAGAGGTTATGGTAACTTTAGGGGTTATGGTAGTTCTTAGACAAGATGTGCCCTCCTAATAAGGGAAGGGGACACCCTGGAACTACAAGAAAGGCAGGACTAAAGGTGAGATTCCTGAAGCTATAGCTGAGGGTTAGAGTGAAATGGTAGCACTGAGGATGCCCATTCACCCCAGTGATCACACAGGCTTTGGAAGAGGCCCTGGGGAGGGAGTCAGCGCAGAGAGCAAGCAGCCCCCACGTCTAAAAGAAATGCAATGGGTTTACCTGCCACATCAAGGGTTAACTGAGGCTCCTCTGGTATAGTGATTAGATGGTAGGTGGGGGTGGTAGGAGCCTCAGGGACAGACAATTCTTGGTTGCTTTGACCGCCACTGGTTTGAAGGCTCTAGGTTCCCTTCGGAGCATAGGACACTCCTCCAATGGCCTTCCCTCTAGTGGAGGGGGCATGGTCCTGGAGGTAGTTGACCCCAAGTCTGTTGAGAGCGCTCCTTCATGTGCCCTTGTCCACCAGAATAGCACTGCCCCTTTGATGTCCCTTGTAGTTAGGGGCTGGGTGACCCCGCGGCGGCACGAGGCTTAAAGACGAGGCTCACAGGTGAGCCTCTTGCTTCCATCGGTGGCTTTTTGCCCTTCCTCTGCTCAGCAGTTAACACTGAAAGTTCTTTCTACCACTTGCTCAGTCAGGATCTGGGGTCCCAGGGCAAGTTTTGTAACTTTCTGATGTCTGGGGCTGCCTGCTGGTTAAAATGTATCCCCAGAAGTGCTCTGCCTTCAGCTGACTTGGGGTCGATTTTCTTGTACTTTTAGAAAGCTTCTGCTAGTTGCCCTCCAAAAATGGTGGGGTTTTCAGTCTTTGAGTAACCTTTTTTAATTTATCATAATTAACAGGCATAATAGTATATTTTTTCATCCCATCTGAGACAACCATACAGTGCAGTGGTCCCTTCCCTCTTGGCCTTCACCTGTCTCAGTTTGATAGCCACCATTAGGGTCCCGATCTGGGACTGTGTCCACCCCTGGTCAGTATACCCGATGTTGAGCATGACGACCAGCTAATTCAGCAGCATAAGCTCTTGCAGCTCCAATTATGTGCTGCTTTTCATCTACAGCTCAGCAACGGGAGGACCATCTGTAAATCACTTCAAGTTAAGTCATGAGTCAGTGTTAAGTGATTAAACTTCTCTGCAAGGTCTTTGGAAAACTGACTGAGTTTTTGTTTTCCAAGGACCAGACATAGAAAAGGGAACATGTACTTGAATAATTCCCTTAGCTGGCCTCCCTCAGAGGTAACATATTGGGGCTTGGGTGATGAGCTCCACTCCTGGCAATGGCAGAACCATGAGGAGGGGTGGGTGCCAGCAGTCCTGTACTGGAGGGAAAATTAAACACTGGCAGCTGCTCTTTGGAAGGTGGCAGGCAGTGAGCTGGGAAGCAGGCTGTTCCGCCCTCCAGGTGGGGTTTCATTCTCTAGACAGAGGCTGGAATCCTGCCAGGGCTGTGAAGGTGCCTTTTATTCACCTGACGTGGTGGCAACACACATTCTACAAGTTTTCCTTAAATCCCTATCTTGGTAAAGGGCCATAAACACCTGAACATAAGGTATTTCACTCTATTTGTCTTGAGTTTTGTAAAACAAGTCTAAATAGAGAAGCATTATAATTCAGAGATCTATTTACAGGTCAGACTTCCCTGTCCTTGAGTTTGTGCTGAGGCTAGGCAATATCGTAAAATAAAATGCCTTTTTAAAAAATTGCCCTTAAAGGTAAACCAACTGTTAAGAAGATAC